ATCTCTGAGACCAAGAACCACATCTCATTCATTTCTTCCATTCCCACACCCAGGACAATATCTGATATAGAAAGACATTTGATAAATATTTGACAACATAATTTTTTAACAAAACTGTCTCAGAATCCCAGTAGGCAAGAAAAAAGACCTGTTTGCATTATTATTACAAGTGACTATTAGGCAACTGTGTGAATTCCAGGCATCCAGAGCAGCTTCTGGGGCTCAGTAAGGTTGGGGCCCCTGGGACTGGGGGCATTCACATCACACTAAGAAGTCCCAGGGGCAGCTGAGTCCTCCAGAGATCAAAGATCCCAGCCAGCTTTCCGGGACCAGCCCCTCCTCTCTCCGATGGCCAAAAGGACACTTGCTGACAAGGCATGGCCAGAGCTGTTCCGGGTTCCCTGCTGTGGTTGGTTTGCAAGAGAAGAGTGGAACCCTGCCCTGTCTTTGTGGAGTGTCCCACTGGATGGGGACACTGGGTCACCTCACATCCAGCCACAGTTCCCTTCCCGAGTCCCCCACTTCCCTGATGTCTCCCCGTCCCCTCCTGCACCCGTCCCCTGCTCAAGGGCAACTCCTTATCTCCTCAAGCTCTCTCCAGTCCTGGTTGTCCCTCTCCCAGGGAACACCAGTTTGCCAGCCCAACCTGGCCTCCCTGACTGAGTGTTGCCCTCCAATCCCTTCCAGTTGGCTCCTGCTGGTCCCGAGTGAGTCCAGCCACCCAGGACAAGGATTCCAGGCCGCCCCAGTCTGGCTCCAGCCCCTTCCTCTGTGTCCCGGGCCATCCGTGCCTGGGAAGCAGAGACCGTGACTGACTGGCCCTGTTTCTCTCATCAGCAGTTCTCTGGAGACAGGGCTGGCACTGGGCTGGAGCTGGTGAGCCCAGGGCTGTGCTGGGCCCCGGGCTTGGGCCGCAAAGGCTGAGTATGGGCAGGTACTCCCGCCTTCCTTTCTTTCCCGGCTCTTCCTTCTGCCCCGTCCCAGCCCCCAGCCTGATGAGGTTGCAGACTCACAGGCAGAAAGGGCCCCTCCCTGTCCCAGTCCCTCCCTGTCCCTGTCCTACTCACAGAGCATGTCAGGGGCTGGACTGAGGTGGGAACACCCAGGCCAAACCTCCATCCAGCTTTTCAGAGAAGACGATGGGGCGAGTGTCCTCCTCTGTCTGCCTCTCCAAGACAGCTGGCCCGGGACACAGAGGGTGTGTCTGTCCCCTTCTGAATCCCCCCCACTCCTGCACTTGGGGTGTTTCAGATCCTGCTGTACTGTGTTGGCTCTGCCCTGAGACCCTGGTGCCTGGGGCGGAATAATTAATTCTGGAGTGGGTAGGAGGTGGCAGAAGGGACCCAGTTTAGGAACCCTGGGCCTGATGGGAAACTGTCATCCGCCACCTGCTGGCTGGATTCTGGCTCCAGCAACTCTTCCCAGTCAGTCCTGGAATCCTGCGGTAATTGCTGTGACCTTGAAATCCAAGACTCTCCCGTGTCCCTGCCTCCCCACCCCCCCAGCCAACCCTCCCCCTTACATTCCCATGTTCCCTCACTCAATCTGTTAACCTGATTCGTGCCAGCATCCCCATCCTGGGGGATTTGCGTGTGAAGACAGCTCTGGCAGGGGCAACGCGTAACCCCAGGGGCCGTGTGCTCCTGGGGTTCCAGGCGTGAGACCAACCGGGTCTCAGGGAGGGACTCTGGGTCAGGAGCTTTCTAGAACTCTCCTAACCTACTCTACAGACACTCACCTTCTCCGTCTGAGCAAAGCTGACCCATTTGTGCCTGTTACTGAATTACAATTCCAAGGAAAGACAGGATGCATGCTGTTCCCAGATAGGGAACACACATACACAGAACGGGGAGCTTTTGCCAACTCCCCCTGGGCAGGGGCCTCTTCCTCTGCTGCTGTCCCCAGGCAGGCAACCCGGGGAGGAGGACCTGGCCATGCTTCCCGGGGCCGAGGTCAGCATCTGCCTCTGCCCTGGGCAGGCTCCTGGCACGGCAGCCCCTCTAAGCAGGAAGGCTGGGGGCGGGGGCCTGGTGGTGGGATGTTTTCACATGAAGTCATTTCCCACAGTGAAGAAGCAGCCACACGCCGCACGGTCCACTGGCAGTCTGGGATGCTTGCCCAGCACCAGGAGAGAGTCTAAAAATGCCCAAACCCATCTTGAGATCTCAGAAGGCTGGCTGGAAGACAACCCGGGAGTTGGCCAAACCTAAACAACTGCCCATTCCATGCTGAACTCAGGCTTGGGGAAGCTCATCCTGGCCCCTGGGGCTCCATGTACTGCTGGATGGCATGGCAGCCACAGAGAGACCACCAGCCAGAGGCCCTCATGGGCAGGCCTCGCCCTCTCCAGCTCCTGGTGCCCAGTGTCTGGCACTCAATAGGTTCAGCTGCTTGGTGTGTGTCCACCTGAGTTGAAGACCGAGTTAGGTGTCAGGGGTGGAACCAGGCATTCCAGGCATGTCCAGGAGGATGCCCTGCAGATGCCAGGGGCATGAGGGACCTCGTCACAAAAGAGAAGGGTCTGGAGTTCAGCCTAAGATATCCTCACTGTAGAAGAGACAAGCACAGATGCCTGGTGGGCCACGTGGTCATGGGGCCCATAAGGGGCTTGCTCTTCTACATCACTCTAGTGACAACAGTAATGTGTTGGCTGGACTGTGAGTGGCAGAGGAATCGGTGGAACAAGCTAGGTGTGGAGTGTCTCTCAGCATATGAAGAACTTAAGGACACACGGCCCACCAAAGGGCATTCACGGAAGACTCATCAGATGCAGTTGAAAGAGTGGGCTAGGCGGGAGGAGAGGGGAAAGCAAGTCAGAGCCCGACCTTAGATGATGTGCCATAAGGAGTAATGATTAAAGAGCTGCCAGAGGAGAGGGCTGGGCACAGTGGCCCACACCTATCATCCCTGCACTTTGGCAGACAGAGGGGAGAGGACTGCCTGAGCCCAGGGGCTCGAGACCAGCCTGGGCAATTTGGCGAGACCTTGTCTCTATAACAAATAAAAAAAATCAGCCAGGCGTGGTGGCATGTGCCTGTAGTTCCAGCTACTTGGAAGGCTGAGGTGGAAGTATCACCTGAGCCCTGCAGGTCCAGGTTGCGGTGGCCGTGATGGTGCCACCACACTCCAGCCTGGGTGATGGAGTAAAACTCTGACCAAAAAAAGGGATGTGCGGGGGCTTAAAACTGGGGGGACAGACCACCTTGTCTTTTTACCTGCTGCGGGGGTTGTGTCAGGCAGGCAGCCAGCTCCAGCGTTCCTGTAGTGTAAGATGAAGAGTTTATAAAGGCCAGATGTCCATGAAATTCAGGTTTCATTCAAACTCAGGCTTTAGGAACGGATCTAGACACTCCAGGGGCATCTATGTTCACATTCACGGTCAGAGACACTCTTCTCACCCTGCAGGAAGCTGTTCCCAGCTTCCCTTTCCCCCCAACACGCATCTTGGCTGTGGCACTCGAGCCAGACCACAGGTGGGCTTGGGGATTCATCCCATCCCCTCACCCACCAGTGTGGTGAGAACCTGGGATGTCATGCCAGGAAGGGATGCTAGACATTGTTCCATTGTCCCACCATGCAGATGAAAAAATGAGGCGGAGAGTGGGAAAAGCTTCCCTTGGGGCCATCCAGCTAGTAGGGAGCCCCTCTGGCATCCCACCTGTATCCTCCTCAGCTCTCCCTCCAGCTCTCTTGAGCTTCCTGTGGTGTCCACCCTGCCGTGTTCCTGTCCACTTTACAACCTGACAATTTTTGTCCAAGGCAGCCCTGCACTGTCAAGAGAGTGAGGGTGTCCCACATCCCTGGCCTCATGACGGGCCCCAGACATCCTCTCCACATGCACTTTGTCCAGTCCGACCCTGGCGGGTCTGGGAGCACCAATCTCCTCCAGCTCTCGACTCAAGATCCACATCCCTATGTGTCACCCTGTCACACTGGCCGAATGACCTTAAGTGTATCCCCACTCTGGGCTGACTGCTTTTCTTAAAAATGGGATTCATAGAGACGGGTGCAGTGATTCATGCCTCTCATCCCAGCACTTTAGGAGGCTGAGGTGGGAGGATCACTTCAGCCCAGGTGTTTCAGACCAGTCTGGGCAACATAGTGAGACTTTATCTTTAAAAAATAGTAACAATGTTTTTTTAAATAATAAAAAATTAAAAAAGAAAATGGAATTAATAAGACGGCCTCCCATCAGAGCTACTGTGATGGTCAGTGAGTGCAGCGTGTGAATTTGTGCTTTGTAGACTGTTCCAATGGAAAACGCAGGGCCACCAGACCCCAACATGGCCTGGATACACAGCAGGTATCTACAGAATGACTGTAGAACAGTGATTCTCAATGGGGGTGTGGGGGGGTGGGGGAGTGGTGATTTTGACACCTCAGGGGACATTAGGCAATATTTGGGGACATTAAAAAACTTTTTTTTTTGTAAAGACAGAGTATCACTCTGTTGCCCAGGCTAGAGTGCAGTGGCATGATCACAACTTATTGCAGTCTCGACCTCCTGGGCTCAGGCAATCCTTTTGCCTCAGCCTCCCGAGTAGTTGGGACTACAGGCATGCCCCACCACACCTGGCTAATTTTCTGATTTTTTTGTAGAGATGGGGTCTTGCAATGTTGCCCAGGCTGGTTGGAAACTCCTCTGCTCAGACAATCCTCCCATCTTGGCCTCCCAAAGTGCTGGGATTACAGGCGTGACTGTCATGCCCAGTCTGGGGACATTTTATGGTTGTCACAACAGGGTAGGCATTGCTATGACATCTGACTGGTGGCGGCCAAGGATGCTGCTAATCATCTTACATGTGCAGGGGACCCCACAGCAGAGTCATCCAACCTGAATGCCAGCAGTGCTGAGAGGAAGGACAGGTTCAGACGTGAGCTGTCATTCCAGAAAGGCACAGGAGTTGTGGGTGGGGAGATGGCTGTCCAGGGCCCAGGCACCATGGGGACTTCGAGCAGGGCCCAGTTGGGGCTAATGAGACGGCCACGCCTAGGCGTGCTAAGTTGAAAAGGTTTTATTTCAATTCTATCCTTGGGAGGCAGCATAAATAACCACAGGAGACCACGGTGGTCAATGGGGAAGAAAAAAACAACTTCCAGAATGGGGGGGAGATGAGCTGGTGCGGTCTGGCTGCGGGTGGGGGTGCGGGTGGGGGTACCAACCCCACTTGGGCTGGCTGGGAACATGGAGGGGTCTCAGAGGAAGGGCCTGAGGGAGGGAGGCTTTCCCCTGTCCCTCCTGCCTGGAGGGCCATATGACCGTGGCCTCCGTGGACCAGGCATTCCGTGGGTGGCACAGGCAAGCAGGTGTGGCATGGAATGTGACTAGTGGATCCTAGCTAGTGAGAGAAAAGAGTGGACACCCATTTCCAGATCCCGGATCTCACCCCCAAAGTGGGACTCTTCTGGGAACAGCGTTTACACACTCAGCGTGGGTGGTGGGAAATAAAGGAAAAAAGAAGAAAGGAATGAGCACACGTCGACGGCCGGTGAAAGGCAGCATCTCGGAGCTGTGACCTGGGCATCTTGAAGCCGGTGAGGCACGGTGAGGGCCCCGGGGGTCACAGAACCATGCAAACTCTGAAGTGCTGTGAACTGATGAAGCGACTGTGGTCATCCTCCGTGCATAAGGCGGAAAGTGGCTGAGAAGTGGGGATGAGACACACACGGGGCCTCCCCCAGGGCCGAGCTCCACCCTCCTCAGCCTCGGCTTCCCGGAGGATGAGGCCTCATCTCAGATGGAGTCCCCTGGGGGTGAAGGCCGAGGGTGCGGGGGCCCCAGCCGGGCAGTGTGCGCGGGCATGGCTGGTGCTGGGCAGACGGTCGCGGGGGTGTTCGGCCCTTGCTGTCCATGGGGCCGCAGGTGCTGGGGAGGCCTGTGGTGGGATTGGCATCTCCATGCAACGGGAGAGGCCCAGTCTTGGGTCTGGATGGCTGGGCCTGTCCTGGGCCCATGGTGGACCTGCTAGATGGCCTAGGAAGTCGCTTCCCATTGCAACCCTGGGTTCTGTCATCTGTCCAATGGGAACATGCGTCCCCTACCCTGTCAGGCTTGCACGCAATGGGTCAGGTGTACAAGAGCTTTGAAGAGAATCATGGGAAGGCAAGGGGCGTATGGCCTCGGAGGGCCTTGAGAACAGCCTCCGAATTCCCTGAAGATGAGGGGCCGGGTGGCCAGCTGCCGGGCCAGGAGAATCAGGCTTGGGGCCGCTGGGAGGAGGAGTGGCCGTGGGGAAGGAGCCCTGGGCCTGTCACCCACCCCGACGGGTGGGGGTCACCAGGAAGGCTGGGCCCTCCGGGAGGGTGTCTGTCCTGGCAGCCCCTCAGCCGGGGCCAAGTTCAAGTTCTATGTCAAGTTGGCTCTGCTTCCCCTTCTGCTCCCTGGTCCCCAGAGGGCCACCTGGGGCGGCTGTGGTGTCTCTGCCCCACTGAGGGGGAGCCTGGTTCATGGGGTGGCAGGGCCAGGTCCACCCATGAGGGGTCACCAGGAGAGGCTGGGGACTTGCATTAGCATGAGGTCAGAAGGTCAGAGGTTGGCTTCCAGTTGTCGAGGCATCAGGCAGGATCCACGGGCTCGCCCGCTCCTGTCCTGGCTCTGTCTCGGGGTCACCGGATAAGGGGAAGTGAGGGACGTAGAGACAGGAGGGGCAGCCCGGCGGCCGGCAGGGACTAGCAGTTCTTGGGGCTGTTGCGCCAGTTTTTCAGCTCCAGCTGGAGCTGCCGGATGCGAACGTCCTTCTGGGCCAGTTCCTCCCTCAGCCGCCGGATCTCGTCTTGCTGCCGGAAGAACATCCGCAGGAGCTGGGGGTGGGGGAGAGGGCCGCACAGGGCCATGGGAGAGCATGAGGGGCCGCTCCTGCCTGTCGGGCCTCCCACCAGCCCTGCCCGCGCCAACTCACCCCCAGCCACTCATGGCCTTGACCTCTGCCCCTCCTCCGGTCCTCTCCTGTTGCTGAGGGCTGGCCAGGACATCTCAGCCACCCTCCTGGAAGGTCCAGCCTCCCTGGTGGCCTCACCTGTCGGGGTGGATGGCAGGCCCAGGGTTCCCTCCCCTCCCACCCCTCACTTCCCGCTTCACTCACTGATTCGGGGTCAACAAGGAAGGAGTGACCACACACAGCCCAGTTTCCAAACACCCATGGGAGCCCACCCTAATGCTTCTCTTTTTCTTCTTTCTCTCTCTCTTTCCTTTTTTGAGTCAGAGTTTCACTGTGTCACCCAGGCTGGAGTGCAGTGGCATGCTCATGGCCACCACAGCCTTGACCTGCTGGGCTCAAGCGATCCTTCCACCGCGCCTTCCAAGTAGCTGGAACCATAGGAGTGCGCCACCACGTTTGGCTAATTTTTTGATTAATTGTTGAGACAAGGTTTTGCCCAGGCTGGTTTTGAACTCCTGGGCTCAGGCAATCCTCTCGCCTCCACCTCCCAAAGTGCTGGGATTACAGGCATGAGCCACCACTCTTTCTTTCTTCTTTCTTTCTTTTTTCTTTTTCTTTCTTTTTCTTTCTTTCTTTCTTTCTTTCTTTCTTTCTTTCTTTCTTTTTCTTTCTTTTTTTCTTTCTTTCTTTCTTTTTCTTTCTCTCTCTCTCTCTTTCTTTCCCTTTCTTTATCCCTCTGTCTCTCTGTCTCTGTCTCTCTCTCTCTCTCACCCTCTCCCTCCCTCCCTCCCTCTCAACCTCTCTCTCTCTCTCTCTGGAGTCAGAGTCTTCCTCCGTTGCTCAGGCTGGAGTGCAGTGGCACACTCACAGCTACGGCAGCCTTGACCTCCTGGGCTTAGGCAATCTTCCCACCTCAGCCTCCCGAGTGGCTGGGACTACAGGAACACACCACCACATTCAGCTAAATTTTTTTTCAATTTTTTTGTAGAGATAGTGTCTTGCTATGTTGCCCAGGCTATCGAACTCCTGGGCTCATGTGATCCTCCCACTTCAGAATTTCCATTTCCATTCTCGATGGAAGCCTTTCCAACTTGTTTTTGTCCTCTTCCTAAGAAGGCTGAGCACCCAGAGTAGGATCTGGCTGTTTCCTCAGGGATGGACTCTGACAGAAAAGTCAAAGCTTACATGGGGCAGGCATTCACTAACTGGGGTGGCAAGAGAGCCTGAATGTTGTCTCCTTCAGAACCCATGTTGAAATGTGACTCCCAACAGTGGAGGCGGGCCTGGGGGGAGGTGACTGGGCCATGGGCGGTCTCCTGGTACTGAGTGATTCTCCTTCTGTGAGTTCACATGAGAGCGGGCTGTTCAAGAGCCCAGCCCCTCCTCCTGTCTCTCATTCCCGCTCTTGCCATGTGACACGACTGTTGCCTCTGTTTTCTGTGAAGGTGGCTTCCTGAGGCCTCACCAGAAGTAGGTGCCAGCACCGTGCAGAACTGTGAGCCAAATAAACCGATTTTCCTTATAAACTATCAGCCACTTCATAGTCGTGACTGTAGGTGGGCACTGGCCAAGCACAGGTGTCTAGGCCAACTCTCACTCAGGTGACCTATGGATTAGCTAGGCTCTAATTCTTCTAGAAAACATACTGACAGATGCCCACGAAACACCAGCCAAGGAAGGCGCAGGTGGGGGTGCAGGCCCCTGCGCCCATGAGCTTAGTGTTACCCAAAGTCAGTTGTGTTTGTTCTCAGACATTCTGGGGTAAATTACATTAGTTACCTTAATTGTATAACTTACTGAAATAGGATATACATTGATTAAGTGAGCACAAAAAGAGAGTGGCTATTTCTATGAGAACTTAGCATAGTGCTTTAGAAAAATCTCACTAAAGATGATGCTAAAAAAAAACCCAAAAAACCGTAGCTGAATTAGGCGTGGATGACATAACCATGAAAGATCGAGGGACGCTTTGTATCTTAATTGTGTGACAGTGGCTGCGTGGCCAGGTGTGTTTATCAAAATTCTTAGAACTATACACTGAGAAAGATGAATTTTACTATAGGTAAATTAGACCTCGATCAATTTGTCTCAAAAAAATATTTGGGAAAACATTAAAAAATCCTGGGCTTTGATTTCAGATTGATCTTATTTTTTATTTTTTAGAGACAGGGCTTTGCTCTGTCACCCGGACTGGAATACAGTAGGTACGATCACAGCTCACTGCAGCCTCAAATTCCTGGGCTCAAGTGAGTCTCCCACCTCAGCCTCTTGAGCAGCTGGGACTCCAGGCATGTGCAACCACACCCACCTAATTTTTGTATTTTTTTATACAGAAGGGGTGTAACATTGTCAGGCTGACCTCCCAAAGTGCTGGGATTACAGGGATGAGTCACTGCGCCCAACCCCAGATTGACTCTAAATTCTCGTTTCACCAAAAGAGACTGAAACTGGGAACGGGCAAGAAGGTGTGATTTATGTGAGAAAGACAAAACAGATTCCCTCAGGGAAGCTTCCTCCAAGACAAGGTCTTGATCCTGCATCAAAATATGCTGAATGAATGTGTATGTTTTAAATGAAAATAGGCGATTTAAAGAATGTGCTTATCATTGTATAATTCCCTCCTTTGGTTGACTTAAAAGAAACTGCTAACCAAGAAACCACCTAGTTACATCTATTCAGAGGGACGATATACTATTACATGAAATGATGCGCCTGAGCCCGCGGGTTTAAGACCTGCCTGGGCAGCAAGACTTCATCTCTACAATAAATCAGAAAATCAGCCGGGCGTGGTAGCGCATGCCTGTAGT